TCTCATTCGCTCTCTTATCTCTCATTCTCTCCCCTCTCACACACAACACTGGCACTGGGTACTAAAGCAGCTTGCCAGTGGTATGGGAGAGCTGGGGACTATTTGACAGTGTACCGCTGTGATGCATGGCTGTTTTCATCCCAGCACTCATCCCAAGTGAATAATAACACACCAAATTAGAGTGACTTATCTCTATCTGTCTCTGTATCCCATCCTGTCTGGGCCTTGCCAGCATCGCCTGAGTCAAACTGGCTCTCTGTGTGTGTTCTGATACTCCTCTTCTCGTTTTCTCCCCTACCTCTGTTTCTGAGTTTTCTCTCTTCTCTTCCTTCTTCTTCACACAGTATAGCCAAAAGCTGTGACCATTGTTTTTCTGTGTGTTAATAACCAGCAGAGGGAGCTCACACCTTCTCTCTTGCTACTGGTCCTTCTGTCTCCTCTGCACACCACAGGGCGAGACCCAACGTTATAAAGAGTGAGATCCACACTAATCTCCTGCAAAATTAATTTCAAGACATTCTGTAATAAAAGTGCCCTTTAGCCCACACAGAAATATTCCCAGTCACTGCTGGAAGCATAAATTAACTCCTAAATGAGTGGCTGATGAAAATCGTCTGGGTGTCTCTGCAGAGGGAGCAAAGAGGCTTCTGCAGTGAAGCGCTAGAAGCAAAACATATTATGAATGTTTTAAAACGAAATAACCATATAGAGCTGTGTTTAGTGTGTTTTTGCGCTATAGGAGGTAGTAGGGCTATTTCTAGGAGATGAGTATGGGTGTCTTTACCCGCTTTTTTTGGTTTTTCATTTTGTAATAATCTATTTCTTAAGGAAACTTAAGAAGGCATAATTTCAGTGCCAAGGTCTTATGAACGTCTACAGAGGAACAATAGAAAGCATCCTGAGAGGAAACATCACAAACTGGTGGCCTCTGCAGCGGGTGATTAAAATCGCATACCTCATTGGTTGAGCATCAAGAGATATCGGTGAGGTGAGCGACTTGAGCAGAGCCCACAGTATACCCAGCCACTGCCTGTTCATCCTGCTGCCGTCTGGCAAGAGATACAGAAATATCTGTAGTCGCACCACCAGACTGCAGAGCAGGGTCTTCCTCCAGGTTGTGAGACTCTAAATTTGATCCTCTCACCATGTAAAATAGTTGTATTTCTTTATCCACAAATCTAGTGTATATTTTTGTCATATAACATTTGCTTTTTGTGAGTAGCATAAAGAGAACTACAACTTCATCTTGTTATACAACCCTGTGTTGTAAAATCATAAATACCTTGTACCTTTTTTCAGCCCCCACACCTGCAGTAATATATTCTTTCTCTTTTTTATTTATTTTTCAAATGCAATGTTTTTTTTTCTTTTTAATCATTATCTTAATGAATAACAATTAATGGTATGTACTTTCATGGCTGACAGTACATACTGTAACTCTCTCTCTGTGGGAATCAATTATCCCTATCTTGCCTGCAGCTATGGAGTTCAAAATGCTCTTTATTGCTACCAGAAAAACAAACCACGTCTACCCAGTACCAGACCACATCTAGTCTCCCTGCACTGGTTACCAGCAGAAAAATATACTGTACAATAGATTTTATTTGTTTTTAAAGCACGGCATGGACTGGCACATGCTTATATCTCCAATCTTCTTAGGCCTTTAATGATTAGTAAAATATAAAATGCCTTAAATTTTGTCTGTAACGGTTGCCTCTTTGTTATCATCTTAATTATTTCATTTGTATTTTAAAAGTACTTTGGTCAACACTTGACTAATGCTTACAATTCAGCTTGTATTCTTAGTCAAACTCCTGTTGGCCCTCAGACATGAGTACGAGAATTCTATATGTAAGAGTTGCTAGATTATATTGTATGATGTAAATGCACCAGGCAAAAACAGTAGGCTTTGCCAGCGGATTACATGTTCTACATTTGTTATCAACTAAATCCCGGTCCATGGAATTTCTCCAAACCCTGGATATTGCGAAAGCCAATTGCCCACCCACTCATCCACCCGTCCAGCCATCCATCCATCATCCATCCAGTAATTCTTCTTATCTTACTGTACTTTGCTTTACAATGCTACAATCAAATATTCCCACAGTATACTTTCTAATCCCAAAGCAGCTGAGATAACAAGTGCGCAGAGATGATATAATCTGATCTAAGACCTAGCAAATATCCATATGTTAACAGACATTAGCATACTGTGCTGTTCTCAAATGCTTTCATGCATGCAGTAAAAGAAGCTTTGCAAGAAACAAGAACTGATATGTGTAGTGAAGCCAGAGCAAATTTTCATCTGCAACCCCAGAGACGGGGATCTGTCGATGAGGCATAACAATGCTGACAGCTCAGATGTCACACAAGCACATTTATCACCTAGACATAATTGCTTCTTGAGAAAAGAAAGGCTTCACTTTCTTATACTTTAAATTAGTAAAATCTTACGCTGTAGTTCTGCATCGCAGGAGTGTGTGTGTGTGTGAGAGAGAGAGTGTGGAAACAGTGCATCATCAGTAGTATCAGCTGCAGCAGGTGTGAACACAGCGTGGATGGTAAAGGTGGAGGTTTGCATTTGGGAGCATTGCTCTCCCCATTGGAGCATCTAGTTGGGCGTCAGCAGCTGTGAATGGTTCTCTAAAAGCTGCTGGTCCTACAAACATACAGGCTTGGGATCCACTGTAGCAAGGAAGTGCTTATTGTAAAAAATAAATAAATAAAAGGCCTATAAACTGCTAACCCAGCTAGCGCACCTGTAACAGTACAGGTACACACACTCCCTTGTAGTAGTAACACAATGACTCCCTTTCACCTGAGGAGGGGAATTAAATAGCTTCTTGCTGTATTTTTTTAGCACACAGTGCACCTAGTACCTCACCTTACATTGTCCATGTCTGTCGACTGTACTTGCCTGCTCTCTTGATGATTTTTAAATTGTATTTATTTACTTTAATTCATCACTTTGATAAAATGTGTAGTTATTAATAGCGCCAGCTTTCTGGTCAACAAACCCCTGTCCAGCTGCACCGCTCGCCACATTGAACACTTTTCTGTGATATATACATGTCACTAAATGGTGTCATTTTCAAGTTTTCCATATTTGTTGTAGACAAGTGAATAGAAGGTATGTAGTTGTTGGGGTTTTTTTGTTAAGTCAAGAGAAACTTTAATGGGAGCATTATACAGACAGATTTCAGTTCAAGAAAAACCTGTTAACTACATACTACAGCAGTAGAAGCACTTTAGACAGCACACATGAATGAATTACTTGTCTTAGTGCTTGTACGCCACCTGTATACATCCACTGTTGGCAGGGCTGGTGCAGTGCTGTGGTGGATGCTGCTCTAAAGACGGAGGTCTAGCTGGGGATCGCCTAAGTGACTTAGGGAGAAGTGTTGCCCCGGCAACAGCACATCCTGGCTCTGCTTGGTGAAAAGGCCTTACAAAAGGGACACTGACTTCACAACACAAACAACTCCACTGCCACTGCTGTCACCTATGGTGTAGAAGCTAGCCCCTTATCTCTTCATCATCACTGTAACATGCACATGCGAGCGATACAGACATGTTGTAGAAATGTAAGGAGTGACGACTGATTGTCCTTCAGGGTCTGGTGATTCCTTATATATGTGGATATAGTTTAAGACGTTCAATAAATCAACCATGCAGCATGAAGGAAAGGTTAATTAAACTCACTTAAATACCCATTCTAGGTTCATGTATTTATCTGAAAATTATTTCATTTTCTTAATACCCCAATATGATGCACTGTGGCATTAATAGAGCATTCTGAAAAGAAGCATCTGACATAGTTTCTCCTTTTTCCATCATAAAAATAAAGAGCTAAGCACCTCTTTGAAATTTCAGGGGAACTGTAAACCATTTTTCAGATATTCAGCGAATAAGTGTAACATAATGTGTATCATGTTATGATTAATTTTTGGTGGGGGCATTGTTTCAGTTTTGTATCTCATCCTTTCTGGATTTTTCTCTTCATTTTCCAAAACTGCAGATGCAATGTTCAGTAGTGCAGTGTGTGTGTGTGTGTGTGTGTGTGTGTGTGTGCGCGCACAACTGTGTGCTTGTATCTGTGGCATAAAAAGGCACTGAATACTCACAAGCCTCAGACCGCTCTTCATTCACCTCACTAGTACAAAGAATGCCCTCTGCAACCCCTGTCAAGCTACAAGCCCCATCAATGGAAAGCCGGTGAATGAGAAAGAGGAAGACTGTGTTTGTTTACAGTGTGTGTGTGTGTGTGTGTGTGTGAATTTGAATCTCTCCCAGGAGTTTGGCTGAAAGAAAACGGGTACATGGCAACATACTGTAGCTCATCCTGATATTCCTTTGTCTCAGAGTCTCTCCAGCTCGCTCTCTTTCCATTTATCTATCTATCCATTAAGAATAGTGCTGTGGTGCTGCAGTGCTGAGCTAAAATCCACCAATACTGTCATATTCACAATCACCCACAGGCAATATTCTCCATAATGGAATTCATATTCCTTGGTTTCCTGCTTGTTGCTGTTTAAATGGTAATAAAACTAAATAGAAACCTCAGACAGCACCTTTCCTATGAACAACAAAAGATATAACTTGCCATAAATGAGATCGCTGTGCTACCAATGAAGACTGGGCCCGTTTTATTTTGGCGTCAGTGTTGCTTTCATTGAGTAGTGGTCTGAATAATAAAGCTAATCAGTTTCCCTCAGCAGGTGGTCATGTTGCAGTGAAAACCTCTTTATGATAAACAGCACATGTGTGCGAGGGTAGATATCTGTTGCCTCTTACGTTCTTGGTAGGTTGTGAATAAGATGCGGAAGCGGCTTTTGCGGCTGGCTTCATCTGCCCACATGCGGATGACGCCCAGCGTCGAAACCAGCATGATGTCGTTGGCCACCGTGGAGCAGAACTTGCTCTTCAGGTCTTCCACTGAACTGAGACAAGACAGGATGAGATAAGAATACATAGTTTATCATCAGGTAGCATGGTTATTTGCTGTGCGTTTAAATAACTTATAGAACAAAACTGATCAGAGCAGTCATGGTTGCTCATATTTTTATAGGCCCATTATCATGTGATATTTGTATTCTGGTTATCTCAAGATAACAAGTTAGATTGTTAGGGAGCTCATATTTGTTTTTATGCCTATTGTAGTTCATGATTCAATTATATCTTTATCTCAAGATTGTATCTCTTATATTGTTTTCTTTGATGGCAATTTTAATACCTCATTATCTTGAGATAGAAAGAAGTTACGGATTTGCAAGTGACGTTGCCTATAATATTGTCATCTGGCTGTTGTATTAAAGGAATAGCTACATATATAGTTAAATAGGTAGTTGGAAAATACACTTGCTTTTTTGCCGAGAGCTCGATGAGAAGATTGACACCTTTCTCATACCTGTCTGCGCAATATGAACCAGCAGATAGTTAGCTTAGCTTAGCATAAATGGGAATGGAAGGAAGGAGAAAAGAGCTAGCCTGGTTGTCCACGAGTAAAAAAATCCCCCTACTTGCACTTTTAAAGCTCACTAACATGTTATTTCTTTGGTTGTTGAATCCACACACAAAGAATGCAAAAACAAAAAATGTGTGTGTATTTCTTGGCCAGGTGCTGTGACTTTCTGAAGTCTCCAATTGTGGCCTACCAACCTCTTGGTGACAAAAAGACTCCCACTCCAATGAAGGTTAAAGTCAAGGGCAACTGAACTTGGTTGAAGATACTGGAAGACGTTTTGTCCCTCATCCAAAGGACTTCTTCAGTTCTGACTGACTGGTAGGGAAACTCAGCTATTTAACCTCAGTGGTGTCGTTTGCCAGGATCGTCGATACTGCTGGTTCATTAGTGTTCCTTGTGGTGGTGATGGTGCATAGATAAGATGCTTGCCTTTGGTGTGAGAGACCTGGGTTCAATTCCCACTGTGAGCCATTCACCATTGTGTCCCTGAGCAAGACACTTAACCTCTTGTTGCTCCAGAGGCGTGCGACCTCTGACATGTATATTTGGATAAAAGCGTCAGCTAAATGAATAAATGTTCCTGGCTAGCAGTCGTTATGGTCGTTACTACTACCCGAGGCCAAGACTGAACGACCATCGTTGGCATCTTCACCTGAGGCCAATAGGTTACATTTGTTGAGTTTCCTGGGAAGTGATGAAAGGACCGCATTGTAAGTGGGGGATAAGTGGTGGCGTAGACCCCCTCCCCTGTTCAATGACGGCCTCTTGACCCAGGTGTAGATGGCTTCCTTGACACCTCTTTCAAACCATCCATCTTCTCTGTCTAAGAGTGTCCTCCGTCCTTCAGATTTAATTAAACTGCTGAGTCCTGACCTGAGGAATTGGCCCTTCAGTGTTGAGCCATGCGTTTGTGTAGTGGTTGTTTAGTCTCCCCAATATACAGGTCTGTGCATTCCTCACTGCATTGGACCGCATACACTAGATTACTTTTCTTGTGTTTTGGTGTGTCTTTGGGGTGTACCAGCATCTGTCTTAGCGTGTTCTTGGGTTTAAAAAACACAGGGATGTTGTGTTTGTTGAAAATCCTCCTGAGTTTCTCTGATACTCCAGACACATATGGAATCACAATGTTGTTGTGTTTGACCTTCTTTTCTTCATCCCCTGTAGTTTTGTTCTTCTTGGATCTTGTGGGTGTGTTCACAAAGGTCCATTTAGGGTATACACAGGCTGTAAGTGCCCCCTTCAGGTGGTTCTCTTCCTTCTCTCTGGCTTGGGTGCTTGTTGGTATGTTGTGCGCTCTGTGGTGCAGTGTGCTCATGACCCCTAGCTTTACTTACATCTGAAGGACAGAGGACACTCGTTTGAGGACCACCAGGTGCACATCTTAGACAGAGAACACAGATGGTTTGAAAGAGGTGTCAAGGAAGCCATCTACACCAGGGTTGAGAAGCCATCGCTGAACAGAGGAGGGGGTCTACGCCACCACTTATCCTCCACTTACAATGCGGTCCTTTCATCACTTCCCAGGAAACTCAACAAACATAACCTATTGGCCTCAGGTGAAGATGCCAACGATGGTCGTTCAGTCTTGGCCTCAGTTAGTCCTAACTACTGTAACGACTGTCGTTACGCCAGCCAGGAACACTAACGAACCAGCGGTATCGATGATCCTGGCAAACTCCACTGAGGTTAAATAGCTGAGTTTCCCTGCCAGTCAGTCAGAACTGAAGAAGTCCTTTGGATGAGGGACGAAACGTCTTCCAGTATCTTCAACCAAGTCCAGTTGCCCTTGATTTTAACCTTCATTGGATAACTATGACCTGGATGACTGAGAATCTTCACAGACAAGACTCCCACTGTTTCCACTCTTTGAGCTAAGCTAAACTGCTGCCTGTGGCTACATATTTACAGTACATACATGAGAGTGTTATTCACCTTTTCATCTAACTCTTTCTGAAAAAGTTTTATTAATTATTACTTTAACTGTAAATGACAAACGCTTGAAATTTGTGTTGAATAGAAAATTACAATGATATTGCTCCACGTCTCAGAAATGGATTCCTGTAAAGTAAAATCTGAGTTGTTCATCAGTCTTGGTCTTTAGCTCTCAGTCTGTTACCAAGTAGGTTATGTGAGGCTAAGCTAACGTGGACAGACAAGGGCAAGGGAACTATATCTTGTCCTAACCATTCATTTCTTGTCTTGACAAAATTCAATATTCAAATCTTCATCAGAAAAAGCCCAATTGTAAATTGCAAGTTTTTATCTCAAAATAAGGAGATGATTAAAATTAACAAGCAACTAAGTCCACTTTAAATCTCTGTATGAGTCATCAAAATGAAAGGTTAAAAAGTCCCACCTGCCACCATCATATACTGCCACAAAGTTGCGCTTGCATTCATTGGAATTGGCCATCTCATAGTCGAGAAAACGCAGGTATATCTGTCAAATGCAAGGAGGCAAAGTGGAGGGAAAACACAGAGAGAACTTTAAAGATGTCAACATGACAGAGTGAAAAAAAGCTGAACAGGAGGAGGAGTGGTGACAGAAAAACTCCTATTCTCCTGGATTGTGCATTAGCCCGGTGCATAGCAGCTCTGTATATAGCAGCTCTGTAATGAAATAACGCTGACAGACTGCAGCTTGTACAAAGTCATTACATACACATATCAAATGAGGACTCAGAGAATGACAGAGTATATTAGCTTTACACTCATTATCCATATCTGTTGAGATAAAGCATTACACAAAACCTACAACCTTGTTAAACCTCAAGGAGACCTTGGACATTTTTCCCCGAACTTTGGATGTCTTCCACTTGAAGTTCATTCAAGAAATTCAGTTGAAATTCAGTCTAAATGTTTACATCATTGGAGTCCAAACATATGCAGTTTAAAAATAAGACTTTCTAAATGCTGTGTATTTGTATAGTGCCTTTCTAGTCTTTGTGACAACTCAAAGCGCTTCTACACTATATTGCATTCACCATTCACACACAATTATAAACTGAGCCTAAGTGCTCAAACAGAAACTAACATTGATACACTGGTGGAATAACAACCAGGGGCCATTCGGGATTCAGTATCTTGCCCAAGGACACTTTGACATGCAGCCTGGAGGAGCCAGGGATTGAACCGCCACTCTTCCGATTGATGGGCAACCCACTCTATCCCCCGAGCCACAGACACCCACTTTCAAATGATGGCAGATATATACAGTGTATGGACTATTTGATTATGCTAACAACCTCTTGTTGAGAGAAATATCCACCTTGCTATCCACCTTGACTCTTCACAACAGCTATTCTAGGTGAAACTCACACTTCCTGATTGCTTCCGCATCATTGTCTGTCACTCATTCATCAGGCAGAGATCGCCCAATCACAGCCATGGTTCCGGTTGGGTGGGCACAGCACTCGCCATCATTACGGTTAATGAGCGGACCGCTCCCGAACTGTGACAGGGGAATGTGACACTTTAAATGCCCAAAGACGAAAGCTGCAGATGGAGCAGGATGATGGACCTTGCAATGTCAACTCCGCTTCAACAACATGACAAGCAAAATGGAATCGCGGAGGGGGAAAACCAAAATTCCCTCGAGGTCTCATACTGGTGTCAATAATGTTCCATCTAATAAATTTGTCATATTCAGCCACTCTTTTGGCTATATTGGCTTTGTCATACGAGTCATGGCACTTTTGTTTTCCATCCTGTGACACTGGAATGAAATACTACTCAACCAGTTTCATGATGCAAAGATGAATGTACGTATATATCTATATCTATCTATATCTATAGAGATAAGTACTGTGCATGGGGAGTATATGCTCTTCCTAAAATGTATTTGTCGCACAGAGTCTCTGCAGGGAGGGCTGGAAGATAGAAGAGGAAGACAATTGCTTAGCAGACGTCACTGTGGAGTGCTGTTGTGGTCTCTTCAATATTGTATGGATTTTCAATACAGCACCTTTAAATGTCATCAAAAGATTGAGAATGTGGATATAAAATGTGGCTTCTCAACGGGGTGGATGAACTCAGAGAGACACAGTGATTAGGTCAGTGATCTGAGAGGAACGTCACTTTACATTGTAGGAAGTTGCACAAAAAATGGTGCTACAAATGGCTTTTTTCACGCTTAGGATTTGAAGAAAATGGTTAGCAGTCACTTACACTATGAACAGGTAAAGTTATGGGTGGATGATGTTTAAAAATGGCTCCATTCCATGTGGCATGTTGCCAAAGAAGTCTGATTAAATGTGTTATTGTTAAGGTTATAGTCAAGGTTAAGGTTATGGTTAGGTGCTCTCTGCCAACGTTGTCTCCATTTGTTTTAGAGTTGAATACGCCAATAATGAGAAAAAGTAACACTAAGCATGTTAATTAGGTCACTTGGCCCAGTCTTTCTAGTCAGCTAGAAGCAGCCAATTGACACATGAAGTTTTCCACCCACAGCATAAAGAATATAGTTAATGCAGCAGTCTGTAACCAATAAAAGTGAATTTAATCAGGGGAGACGAATTACAAACACAAAACAATGTTGAATAGACTACATCTGTTGGTAATAGCTGATTAAAGCAATGTACCTACGGACATTAAAGAGCATAATCTCCCAGCTTGACTGATCAGAACTGATTTTGTATGGCATAATAAGACTGCTGGTGTTGTTGGGGATAGTGGTGGCTGGATTTTTATATTGCATTCACAGATGGATGTTTTGCCACAGCACTCTGTACACACATTCCTGGTATCAAGAGGATAAAACATACCGACTTTGGTGATCCCCCAATGTTTTTATTTATCCTGTTAAAGATCTCAACATCTGCTGGATGGATTGAAACAAGAGTTTGTACAAGCCATTCATGGTTCTGTGGCCAGGCCAATCTCCACACATTCACAACAAGTGTACTGTTTATTGCTGTAGCATACAGTTTCTTATAATTTTATTACTACACACAAACATTGCTCGATACTTTGGTTTATGAAATACTTAAATTTCCCTTCAGTCAGCTGCACTTTGTGTTTAGTGCTAACTAGCAAATGTTAGCATGTTAACACGATAAAACAAAGATGGTGAACATGGTAAACATTATACCTGCTTAACATCAACATCATTGAACAAATATTAGTAAACTAATGTTAGCATGTAGCTCAAAACACTGCTGTGTCTTAGTATAGCCGTACTGCTATTGTTGTGTTTTAATTTTTTAATATTTATTTTAACAGCATTAAGACACTCTTTTCTCGTCTCTTTAACAAGGGAGTCCTGTCATGTCATCAGCGAGGCTGTAGACTAGTCTTGTTATTCTCTGCATCATAGATATGTATCACTTGCTATGTGATTTCAGGCCATACGTGGTCTGGTTTAGAGAGTATTTTGTGTATTTGTATCTCTCAGTATTGCCTGTCTGACTGGCTTCAGTCAGTGCTTTTGGAACCTTTGTAAACTGCCCAATTTGATATAGGGTACCAAGAATTGGACACATTTTTTGAAGACCTCTAAGTTTGCAGAATAACTTCTAGTTTGTTTTCTTCCATTGTATTTTTGTAAGCGTATAGGTGCTGACTTCTTTGTTCTTTAGTGAATTTTGAGCCAAGAGCTAAGAAAGTGTCTTTGGATAAGAACCTCTTTTGTTTTACTTAACGGTTGTTTGTCAACACCCATATAGCCTCTTTCTGTTGTATTTCCTGTGCAGGCACTGTCCATGGTTAATTAAACACCTGACTTTTGTAGTGAACAACGGTGTGGATTTGTGCATTTTGTATTGAATAAATTTGGAACTACTACAAATTCCTTTTTTCTCCCACAGAGGAGCAGGGGGGTCAAAGTTGCTTTCTCTAAGTGCTATCCCAGACCATAAAACTGGCACCTTTTGATTCCGAAGCTGATAACGCGGGGCCTGACTGTTAAACTGACAAAGGGACACAAACCAGCGATTAGCATTTCCCTGAACAGCCTATCAAAACTGGCCCCCAACACATGTTTCCGTGGCAACTGTCCTTGCTCTTTGTTTTATTATCCCATCAAAGGGATACTCCTTGTCTCACCTAAGTGTGACATAATCCAGGACAGCCGAACTTTAAATAACCAAAGACTGCAGTCTCCAAAGACTCAAAGCATTTAATTAAGTTTAATTAAATCTTTAGTTACTTGATTACGTTTGCCTCTATTTGAGTAGTTATGTTAACATGTTGCTATCTGTTGTTGATATTAGTGCTGAAAAGAAAGTTACTTTTGCAGTGTTTTTATTTTCAGCAAGACACTCCATCTAATGTAATCAATGCTTGTTCATAATACTTTCCTACAGAATTCCTTTAGAAATGATGACAAAGGAATGTTTTACTATACTCTTAACCGCCAGCTTGAATTTAAGGATGAATCAACAATATTCCCCAGTTCCTAAGGAGAGATGATCTTGGATTAATCTAAGCTTTCCTCAGGTAACCTGAGCTCCCCCAAGTGGATGAAATAAGTATTACATACCCTCGTTGGAAATGCTGTTAAATGTATAAATATCCTGACCAATAATGTGACAATTGTTTCCTGTTACCAAATGCTTAACTTAGAACAGTACAACCGTTTGACCATTGAGGTTCGATTGTGGAAAATATTTGTATATAATACGCGCAAATAGATATATTTTCTTTTAGACCTTAAGTTTAGAAAGGCAGTCCCTTGGGAAACCTGAAACGCCCCCTGGGGAACCACGCCCCAGGCAACAAAAGAGCAACACGCGACATTCTCGCGCTCTTCTCTCTCCGCTCTTCTCCTCGGCTCTCTCTGGACGCTTCTGCACGCGTCCGGCGTGCCTTGCCAGGCAACGCCCTAAGAGTTCGGCCAGTCCTTTGTTCGCTTGAAGCTACACACGCGAAGTGCCGCGACATCGATCTGCCCCTCAGTTTGTTTTATTTTCTTTCTTTCTTTTGTTTTGTTAAAGTTATCAGTCCGTTAAGTTACACTGGACTAATTCAGGAACGACCAAGTTCTATTTTTAAGCCTTTCTCGTTGAGCCAACTTCACCGAAGTCAGACCAAGCCACGTGGTCTCGCCAGCTACAACGAAGGAAACCTGAAAACAGCTGAATTGCCAGACAGAGGAGGCGTTTTCAATCAGACACGGAGAACCCTGGAGAATCCCTAGCAAAAAGCCAGGATCGGGCAGCTAGTGGGACCAGCAACAGGCCAAAGCAGGCTGTCGACAAGCAGTAAGACTTAACACACATTGGTCAGAGATTTCCCTTTTAACTCCTAAACTCATAGCATTAGCTTACTTTCATTAGTTTTTCTATGCCATATGAGTCAAATGCTTCCCACAATCGAACCTCCATTTCTCATTGTTCAGCAATTGTTTATTTTCCCTGTATTCAACCATCTTTTTTATCACATTAGTTAGAGAATAAATTCACTGTAATATAATCAAGAACTGTGTGTGTTGCCTATTTCTACGTCCCTGCCAAGAGAATTGACCCTTTAGATATGAGACTGACTGATTGATTTAAGATAATTGATTGAAAGTTATTATTAACTAACTGATCACTAGTACTAATTGTATAATTATTCAAAACTACCTAGAGGTCCAGAGACTCTAGGTTTATAACAACTCCGGTGGTGCCCTTAACGAGGAATAAAGTTTGATTTTATGAATATTAAAATTCATAATTGGGTATCAATTCTCATAAATTTATTAAAATGCATAACTAAATTTAGGTTTGCTACACTTTAAACAGAACCTTCCAGTTGTCGCATTCCACCTCATTTCCAATCTCAATTATATGTTACTGCTCTCCAAGACGAGCCGGGTCATAACAGACTAAACATAAAGAGTTAGTCAACTGAGTTGCATTTGTTACTCATTCCTAAAGTGTATGACACATTCCTGCTGAATTCCTCATGTTAAAGCTACAGCTTATGGTTTTTTCCTCCACAGGTCTAGTTTCCTGGATGGTTTAAGTAGAATGGGGGTTGCGTTGCAATAGAAGCAATAGGAGAGATTTGCATTTTTGCGAAGTACACCAATCTAGCACTATATCTTAAAAAACAGAACAGCTCACTGAATCTATTTATTTGGCCCAATACAGAAACATTATTGTATCTAAAATTCCAACTACTGTTGATTCATTGCCAATGTGAATTGTAAGACCTGAAACACAAGTACAACAAAGACAGAAATGTAGCTTCTGGACATGGCTACCGTTGTAAGTGCTGAAGTTGCAGGCTAAACCTGAAAGTGTTTTCAATTATTGTTGTTTGGCGGAGGGGGGCAACACAGTGATAAAAGAAAAAAGCCTTTAGCCTACACTATGCTGCCACACACCCCCTTTTATACTGTAAAAGATGGCAGCCTTATGGTCTTCAAAAATGTATAATTTTTACTGCATGAAATGGTGTAAATGGTATCACAGCCTGCAGTCGTTTACTTTTCACTCAAATACCTCCTGCTGAGTTGACAGTTGAAAAAATAATAACTGCAATTCCTGTGATATCTTTGCTCAACCTTTTCATTCACAAAATCAATGTCTGGTAGATGAATGTGACTAGAAGGCCTCATTATGAGTGAGAGACATGCACAAACAAAACAGATACATAAATAAAAGCTTCTCATGTTGTTTTTCTACAGCTTTTGTTGCAGAACTCTTCTAAATGACCAATGATGAAGACAAATCTGAGTGCAGATGGCATTACAAAGCCAAATGACGGCAATGGATCAGATAGACAGAATCACCAATTTGTAAGAAGAGAGATTGGCTCCAACAGGAAAACGGCCTGCCTCTTCATTGATTCTACAGCACCCAATGATGACGCAGAATCCATCACTGACTGAGGGAGAATATCTTCCCACTGTTGCTAAAAGGGGCCTGTAACAGAGTCCGTGCTGTTCATTATAGTCAGAATGAATGTCCATATTTTGGCCAATAGCTTTATGAAAAGATACAGAAGGTGTCAGACAGCGCAGGCAGGTGTGGTGGGATTCAGACAGGCCACAAATGAGGAAAATGCAGTAACTGTTATGAGTCAACATAGAAAATATTCGTCTACAACCAACAGCTGTCAGCTGAATTTGGACAGCTGTCCAAACAGAAAAACTAAGAAGAAGAAATGTTACAAGTAAAACACAGACCACAGTAAACAAGAGTTGTTATTTTGCAAAAGTAAGTATCCAATTCTTTTCATTGAAGCATCAATTATCTCTTTAGCCTTCATAATTTACACTCTAGTTAGGTTTGTATCGCATACACGTATGTAAAAGGTGATACTGTGGCACAGGCTCGCTTTTTTACGTTACTCTGGACACCAATACAAGCTAATTAATGTTTTTTTCGAGGTAATTTCTGTAAAATCTATTTATAGGAAAAGCTGAAATGAAAATGACACATGGTGGTGTAAAGCAATCACATTATGGCATTAAAATTGGTGCAGTGCTGTCACTTCTGGCAACAACACATGGTCATTATTGCTTACTTGCAGGTATATCTTTCAGTCACTCTCTCCTTTCCTTACGTTTCAAGCCATCCCCCTCTGTCTGCCATCTGCCACCTCACCCCTAAACTTCATCCCTATACATTTAGATCTCAGACAAAATGCATTATTAAGTATATCTTTCCCTTATCCCCTCCTTTCCCATTTTTCCTTCTCCTCTGTTCCCCTCTCCTCCCTTCTCTCTGGAGTGCTCCGGTGCAGTCTAATTAGAGCCTCCGGTATAGGATGTCATTATCTCTGCTGTTTCTGGCACACTGGGTACAGTGCAGCACTGTATCAGCATAGGGAAATGAAAGCCGCAGCGCAACTTCACGCATGCACATACACAGTGATGTGGAGGTGGCATCCTCTGCATCTCCTTCGCTGCAGTAACATGTGAGCATGCGTGTGCTTTTTTAAAAAGAGAGAGGAAGTAAGAAACACAGTTAAGTTTTACATATTTCATGTGTAACTGAGTGTGAACAGTGATGATGCTGGTGAGAGCTACGGGACTGTGTGACTGGCGATACATATGTGCTAAAAATGTTATTTGTCGCCTTGTCCATCAGTACCAATGACTGTCAGCCTTTGGGCCATGACTTGCCTTGTGAGACACTCCTGCAGGGCGAAATATGACACCGATTCAGACCAAGTCAAATACATCATACTGCCAGGCTTGCTCACTCTGCAGCTCTTTCATGCACATACCTTTCGCCTCACACACGCACACACATACTGAGGCACGCATGCGACATACGCAAAATTGACTTATGGTCCTCTTTGGTGCTGTTGCCACAATGTACTGGCTGACTTGTGCACTCCACGTAGAGGGATTGGGGAATCAATGCTGCTTTTTTGAATCGACCGTAGCCGCCAGGGTCCCTCCTAATACCGATTTCAGTGTTACTTATTGTATGGCTCCACATGAGTGCTGATGATGAAGAGAATGGCTGTAGGTGGATGATGCAGTCTAATAGTTCCTGTGGCCTTGGGGCTTAAAGTAGCTGAATCTGAAGGGCATTGCTGAAGGGAAACAAGGGCAATAGCAAAGAGTATGCGACCTCGAAGAATATGTCAGATAAGAGCCAAGCAACTGCTGTGGCCATGAATCAAAGTCGCACCATTATCAGTCATATCATAAGCCAATTTGTGTGTACAGCACAAAAGCCTGCAGCACTGAGTGAAAAACCTGCATGAAAAAGTACTATGAACTCATATCCCAGTTTTCATCAGGGATCAAACAAAGCTTATGGACTGTGTGACTCCATGGTGGCCACAAAAATGGAAGGATAACATCTCGTAACATTAACTGGCACTGAATTAGTGAAACAAATAGTGAAGCTAAGAGAAGTTAAGCTGACATTGCAGCTGCCTTATCTTACTCCTGGGAGTAACGGGAGAATGCACACACAGTGATAACTGAACCCCACGTAATAAAAAGGTCACTATTTTAAACATACTTCCATTTTTGCATTTACTTGTAGGTATTATGGTTAAAGGAGGCTTTTCTAATCTAAGTTTTATATATCTAAATGGTCTATTTTAGCTCACCATTTCGAATTACAGTATAATAAATTTGACCGGACCTTTTAAATCCTCAAGACAAGCAGGCCTCATAATACTTGAATGAATTGTTCTAACCATAAAAGTCAAAGTAGAAACGTGGCCTTATTCTGTTAAGTCAAATGCACCCAGAAGACGGCCAACACTGTTTCAGCATTAGATTTACTGCAGTCATGGGCTGGCCTGTATATGTGCGTATATGATTATGCCATATGGAGTTATAGCTGTAAAATGTGGCCTTTTCCTGCATTGCTGCTCTACCCTCGGGAAACTTTTAATCCTGTAGCATTAATGCAGCACGGGTACCTCTGGTAGATAAGGAAGCATGTCTAGTTTGTGTTAGATAATGAAGCAAAGGTGTGCATGTTTATGTGTATGGATGTATGTCAGTATTTGTATATGCATGCAGGGCAGCGTGGAGAACACTGGCAGAGAAAACAAATACAGGGTGTAGCAGGCCTTAGGGTCAAACTGCATGGCAACACTATTTTATCAGCACTAACGCTCCTTCCCTCTCTCTGTGTTTCCCTCGCTCTCTTTCTCTATCTCCTTCCATCCCTCTATTCCTCCTGGCAACAGCTTGCTGATTTAAAAAAATGGCCTGACCCCAAGTAAACCCTTCTGCCTATCTGTCTGACCCTAGTAGGGGAAAAAGTCCCCCTGCAACCACAAACGTTCACATTGGGATACTGCTGACAGCTGCAGACAAACCCACATGCATTATCAGAAATTCCTGATGCAACCCCTGATCTGCATGTATGAAGGAATGCTAAATGGAAACAGCAAATTAATAAGAAATAATACTCTATCTATCTCAATAGAGTCTTGAAGCTGAAGTTAAATTTTCAGCTTCAAGGAATGAGAACAATGAACATGATCTTGCAGCATGTATTTTTTGTCTTTTGTTGTCTGAAGTAACTGCGTTTTTCTGTCATCAACCCAGTTGATAGGAACACAATTTAATTTCCATTTTATTTCATGTGACATTTCATTTCAAATTTGGCAGTAAATCTAATTCACAGTTGGATGGGAGCGTAGCTTATGTCACTAACCTTGGAGCGCGGCGGAGCACGGATGTACCATTTACAGTCGACGGCCTCGGCGGCGCCAGCCTTCCCGTCTCTGGTGATCTGAAGGGACTCAACGATACCTTCTGGACCAACCATGTCATACTGACAGGCTGAAACACACGCATATGCATAAACACACACGTGCACTCATATACACACGTGCGGTTCAAGCAAACACACATAGACACACAAATACTACACAGGTACACACATGTACATACTTTGAACAACTAGGCCTCAAGTTTAAATGGAGGAACCACAGTGTACATTTATTGAGAGAAAAAATAGAGCACTGAGAGAGAGTAAATGAGAAAATAAGTGAAACAAAGACAAAAAAAAGAAAGGAAGAAATAGAGGCAGAAAGCAAGAGTGAAGGAGTATACCTACAGGGCAGCGGTGGGGGTACTCCCAAGTCTGCAAAGTCCGGATCTGAGGAGAGAGCAGAAGAGGGGGGGATTCATTTTTAATACATGATTATAAAGTCAGGCTCCTCACACAGGCAAAAACAACCAGGTAATAACATACTGAGGAACGTCTTGCAGAGATAACAACAAATTGCTGCCCTCACTCCTAAATTATTTTGGCATCCTTAAATGCTTTGCTACTCTCTCTTCTTTGCAGTCACCTAGAAGAAAGCTAATGGCATGCTAGCTGCCACCCATGTCATCTCCTGTCGTGCCCACAAACAGTTCAAAACTTGTGGTCAAAGGTCATTAGCTCCTGAGTATGAGATTCTTCTTTGGATCCTTCACTTATGCATGATTGTTGCACCATTTGAAGACATCTTTGCACAACACATTTTCCGAAAATCCTCCTATCCTATAAAAATCCTATTAATCTCACAAACCGGAAGAAAACAATTTGGACGAAGACGAAAATGAAGCAAAGACGGAACAAAATAATGTACAAACTGCTGGATAAACTCCAACCAGACCATTCGCATTAGGAGAAACTAAAGATGTTTTTGAAAGACAATATTTAAGCCTTTGATAAAACCCGGCCCCTTCTCCATCCAGTACCTCTTGCTCTGATTTCTCTCATCAACTCAAAACTAGCATAAATTAGCAAAACAATTAAGCATGAAAATCCATGCTAACACCTCTGTGAAGCTGTACTTTGATGGTAACATGCTCACAAAGACAATCTTACCACATTGATGTTAAGTAAGTAACCAAGTTCACCATTTTAGTTGTGTGTTTAGTTGCTTGTTAGAATGCTAACAACATAGCTAGTTAGCTGTAAACCCACATTATGTGTTTTTGAAGAATGTAGGCATAAATAAAAGTATTGGGTGGCTCTAGAGCAAACCGTCGCTCTCTCTTGGTATATATATATATACCGTAGCCCGCAGCATCTGATTGATTCCACGTCGTGAATAATAGCCTATCAACACTTTCAACACTTTGTGAGTTGAAGAGAAGACAGCCGATATTACTGAATAAAAATCAAAATCTGAAGATCTGTTTTTATGATGATGATGACAAGCAGTGCATTGTCCCTGTTTTTGTCACTACTGAACATGCCCCAAGTCACAGCTACTGGGTTTCACTCAATGACACTCTTGAAAGTGACGCCTTTTAAATCAGTTGCTCTCCCCTTACATACTCACTGCGCTTAAACACAGCATGCATCTGTCTGCTGTGTCTTTTCACTGATTGCGATGTAACGTTATATATTTACTACTTTAAAAAGTAACAGTGGCAGAAAATTCCACAAAAAAATAATTGTTGTAGTTATTACACTACTACACCACCATTACATTTTTCCTGTCACACACTCACGCACCACCAGGGTGCGCGCACCACCCTTTGGGTATTGCTGTTTTAGAGGAAAAGTTCAAAGGATCACGAAGTTTTTCAAATTGATCTTAAGCAAGCATGAATGTCTGTACCAAATGTAATGGCAAGTGTTGGTGCTAGCATGGCTAAACTGTTTTCCCACAATTTGACATGTTTTACATTTACTGTGCATTTAATGGAGTTATTAAACCATTAATTAAACCAATATTCATAACAGTAATTTAAGTATCTGTGTGTAGTCTACTCCATATGTAATATGTAAAGTCTCTGGAAGTACAGTGCATTAAATGGACCCTTATTTATGACCAAAAAACATCTCTAAATTGCTCATATGCTAGGCAAATACGGCTCACCACACTATCCCCACTCTTCTAAAATTATGTAAAAAGCCCTCATTATAGCTATATTAGTCAAAATATGGAATCAACCAAATTTACTGGCAATTAGAGGATCAAGCTCAAACTCTTGTGCTATAGATGTTCTCTCGCGGTTTTATTCCACATGCTGATCGGTAGAGTATGCAGCTGTTGTTTTTTTCCCCCAGCAACTTTGACAGTAATTTGGTTTAATTAGGTTTAGTATAGTAAGACCAGATAAACTGTCTATGACAAAGTAGCCGTGAAAACCATTGGTATTGTTTGAAACCAGGACAGTTGTCGTTTTCTGGGGGAAGCCGGTTCGGTTACAGGCATATGACAATAAGGTCAGTGTCACGTCACTGTTGACTTACAGGATCGACTGCACTGTATGTCTCAATAAGGATACAACAGGGATAATGTTTTTTGGACTGACATACTAAATATGCGTAAAAACACCTCTGAGCTCACCAAATAAGTTCAGGTCTTATATTTGTTCCCTTTTGCAGTATCAGAATAAAACAGAAGTGACACTAAACACAGATAAATGGAAGTGAATAAACATTTAAAGTGGTTTCAGAAACTTTTTGAGCAGACCGTTGGGGACTGTGAATCTAATCCTAAACCATAGTTTCACACAATGAGAATACAAACTTTACTAAAGCCAAGCTGAGGCCATGCATTTTGTGAGCTAAATAAGATCAGGGACATGCCTGCTAAAGTTTTGAAAGTCAGCTTGAAGCAAAAAGGTTTACAAATGTTTTTTTCTGTATAATGTTGCAATAAATTACATCAACAAGCCTGGCCTCGGCGAGGTATGTTACCTCATCTTACTAGTGAAACATCACAGTCTCGTCTCTTATCCCCCAAGATTAAATATCACTCCTCAGATGACTTCACACCAGACAGAAATTGACTCTTGAACAATCTCTGCTGTTCTTCCACACCATCATTTCTGTGTTTGTGTGCACTCTTGCAGGGGCGTTTGTGTGTTTTACCCACCATACTCAGTCACCACTTACTACCGAATTTCAGATCCACTAGCTTGAAATCAGAACTCACTTTAGCTAAGAAAAACCAAATTCTTTTTATTGTTATGCCTTTCTGTCACTTGCTCAGAACCTATTGCAAATAGTTCTGTCTTAGTTTTCAAGAAGATAAAATGATGAAATAGCGATGAAAACTATTAAAGTAGTCACAGGATAATCATACTCCACTATAATGGCACTGCATGACATCATGCTATGACACATGGCATTGTGTTTGAAATAAAAAACTCCACAATATTAAATGCATTCCTGCTGATTCCATTTTATTCCAGCCTAGCGACAGAGCAGTTGTGCTTTCAAAGATATGCCGTGAGCTCTGGGCTGCATTCATTTGAGGACAGAGCCTGCGGAAATAGGAAACACAAAAAAGGCTTCACATTAAATCTGATTGTTCCTCGCCAAATCGAGACATGGCTACCACTGACTGAGCTCAGTGTGGAAAATGAGGTCTGATTGCACAGCGTGAACACCTTGCCTAAATGTCACAGTTTTTTGTCTGTATGTATGCCCTAATTTTTCTGTCTAGACATGAGTCAGAGTTTCAGTGTGTCTGTGTGTACGCCGGACCTGAGGAGCAAGTTCCATACACCTGGCAATGCTGCATGCCTAATGACGGCTCACCAGATGAAAAAAAAAAATCGGAATGCGCATGAAACGGTGGGGGAGGGAGGATGAGCATTCAGTGTGTTTGATGATGACACTTGCTGCATGAAACCTATAATTAAAGGAGAGAGATTCTTGGCCAGATTTCGGCTGTGTTCCGGTGGGGACTCAGAAGACCTGACCCTCCACCTATGGTGAAAACAAAAAGAGCCCATTGAATGCTTGTAACAAATTTAGCAAGGCTTCAAAAAACCCCTCTCTCGTTTGCGCTTAGTAAAACGTTCATGTGAACACAAAAGCAGTCAGCAGAGGTGCTTAGAGGGTACTCAAGAGCTCCTCCTGAGGCTTTCTCCACAATTCTTCCCGATTAATTGCTTTCAACTATGGCTCAAATGATCCTATCTATAAAAAGCTAAAGGGGAAATACAGTGCAATTTAAAAATACAAGTGGTTCCTTTGGCCTTGGACAGCTAACTGGTTGTGAACTGGTTGTCTTTTGGGGAAAGTAATGCTTTGCTTGCATAGTTCAAAGAAATCCACCCACATGGCCTCTCTCCATCTGCAGAGATTGTGAGTTATATACTTCAACGAAGCCAAGTGACTTGTGTCTTTCAAGAGCAAAACACAGACATCTACTATACTTCCTACACTGTTAGTTCCCACAGAAATGAATCAAAGCGGCCCACCCTCTTTCTTCACTGTCTGATACTCGGGATGAGTTTCATTGAACACATGTGACACTGTATTTGAATGAGACAGCACATAAGCCACTGGTAATTATTATCTAGATTAAATTATCTAGACTCAGTTAATATTTTGATCTACAAAGGGTCAGAAAATAGTGAAAAATGCCTATCACAGTTTTCCAGAGCTCAAGTTCACATATTCAGTTTGCTTGTCCAACCAACAGATTAAAATCCCAAAATATCTTTAAACCACTAAAATTCATTGGCATTCTATCTTAAAACATTGACTTGACTGGCAATTAACTGATTATCAAACAAGCTGTAGATTTATTTTCTGTCAGTTGAATAATCAATTCAACTAAAAGTTATATCCTTAGTTTGATCTTTTGAGAGTTCAACAAGAAGATTGACACCACTTTCATATCTAAACAGAGCTAGACTGTTAGCTTAGCTTAGATTTAAGTCTGGAAACGAGCTACAGCTTACTAATTGAAGAGTTACATCTCTTTTTTAATCTGTTTGACCAGGAAGTAGTTTAGCACATATCCCTCCATATAACAACAGCTTGTCGTTTTATTTTTGTTTTTGGACAGATTAAACAAACAAGATTCAATGCGTTATTTTGTGGGCTTTTGAATTGGTGGTAGGCAGATATTGTTACCTTAAGGCAAGTCTAGCTGTTTCCAGTATTTATGTTAAGCTAAGCTGACCTAAGCTAACCATCTTCTGGTTCTAGCTTCAAGATTCCCATACAGACATGAGAGTGGTATCAAACATCTCATCTAACACTTGTCGAGAAAGTGAATAAATGTATTTCCCAAAGGTCAAACTACTCCTTTAAGGATGTTTATTTATACCACAGGCCTTCTTCCTTTTTATTAATGTCTACCCATGTTGCCTTCCATGGGATGTTCAGGTATGTGTAGCAAGCAGGTAGGCACGCAGGGAAGTAGACAGTAACAAGGGACAAGAAATCAAAGTGAAGGACAGTTAATGAAACAGTGACCTTCAGGTGATCTGTGCTGGTTGTACCAGAGATTTATTATTGGGCTTTGGCATCACTTAACCCAATGAAATCACAAGGCCAAGCCATGATGTGCGCCGGCACATCCACAAACACACACACACACACTTTTGGTAAAGGCTATTCTTAACATAGTAAAAAAGGTCCCACTAAGAGCCTGCTACGCCTATAAATGCTTCTCGACCCTTGACCTATTTAGACTTTGGCTCCTGAATTTTAATCAGGTGGGTTCCATCCCCGCCACCATCAATCACCTCCTCTCCTCCGCTGCCCTCCTTCATTAATCGATTCAATCAATTACATGGATTGATAAAATGATTGATGAGCTATATACACTACGTGTACTCTTTCCACAGCGTGTGATTTAACCTTGTTATTTACAAGCTGGATGACTCAGCTCAGTCACACTATGTAATATTTGATTACAGGGAGAACGCGAACTTTAAAAGGACCACTGTATGTTTCTATGGTGAATAATAAACACCATAATACATATCTAACATGCCAAAGTAAGAACACATAGAAATGTCACCACAGTATGTGCTACCATTGTAATCACACCGCAGCTTCTTTATAGTGCTCACTTTCTCCACTGCATTGTATAAATGCTTTTGCCTGAGTGAGCTGAATTCACAGCACATCCACACATGGCCACACCCTGTCCTCTCTTCATAAAGCTTGAGTAAGTGTATAATCATCTGGGGCTTACTGTGTTTACCCTTTCCAAAACAGAAAATGCCCACTTTAAAGCCCCAGACTTTAAGTTGCCCTGCAGCACTGTTTATGCACATATTGAGCTCCTCAAAGAGCTAAACGTTATCATCATCCTACAACACGCATACCTGACCTGCAGGAAAATACATATACTCACACCAATGTACAGTAGGTATACACCTGTATATGAACTGCTAGCAAAATCACAGAGATTCACCGAGGCAGAGCAGAATTTACAGAAGTTGTGAAATGTGAAAAAGTCCCCAGAAGCAAACATGAGCAGCTTACAAATGCCAGCTCAAATTTACTCATCACATTGCTTCAAAAACATGTTTATAATGCTAGCAGTGCAGCGATGGTAATTCAGTTTGGCAGACAGACACAAAAATAATCATTAGGAATTTGTTCTAGTAAGAAATTCTGAAACAAATGATGAGTTGGTCCTGATTAGACATACAAATGAAACGGAGCATTGCAGAACTGTCAACAGATGTAAATCTCTAGTAAGTGTACAGTCCCATAAGTATTGTATTGCTCTTCATAATGGCGCAGCACCATGTTTTATTAATGAGACAAAATATGTCTTATTTGGAATTGAGTATTAGGTGCTATTGCTAAATATCTCTTCAGTATCAGCTGTTGAGCCCTATGTATGTAAAACAGCATATGAATGAAGCTCATGGTTATCGGTGTGGGGCACAAACATGCAGATTATTTACACACACACAAGCAGCCCACACACAAAAACTCAATTTCCCAGTGGCCTCATTTCCTCTCAGCTGCTCAGTGGTGACATTTAAATAAGCATCTGATTAATAATCTCTGCTAAAGTGGTTGATCAAGCTAATGAAAGGCTGCCATTAATCACACCAGGCGCAGCTGTGGATGGAGTTCGGGAGACAGACAGAGGAAGAGGTAGAAAGATGGGGAAGGAAAAGGGAAGATTTTCTAGTTTCATTACCTCTTTTCAGTCACAACTAAACAACAAATTTTGGCTGAGGTGATTGTCTCTGTCATACTTTCACAGTTTCCTGGATTGAGTATGTGCCTGCAGTTTTTAGTCTGGCCAGCCAAGTCACCCAGCCTTCAACTGCCAAAACAAACATGTTACATACTGGCCTATTTGAAAAAATTGCCTGAACAAACAATAGGCTATTGTGAAAACCTCTTTTTGATCATACGGTGCTGCAAAGATTAGCTATATAGCTAATACCCCCCTCGACAGGGCTTTGTTGACCCCGCGGATGAAAGCCCAACTATACAGAACGGTAGCGGTGAAAAGCGGAGGCCACAGGATCTGCTGGGGACTGATAGGATTCACCACACCCTGGGTGTCATGGCCAGTGAGCTGGGTCTGTGCCCTGAACAGCGATTAGCAGCGATGTGTACCCCAATGCCATGGCACTAGCAAAAACCAGCTACACACCAACGATCCTACTAAGAACTGTACTGAACTAGTCCGCAGAGGAAAAGAGTGCACAAAGTGACATGAATTTCAATGTTTCTGTTATTTATCCAGGAAAGTTTAACTCAATCTGCTTCACATTCACACAGCTGCCCTTGACCTGTATTTATCGCCACTGTAACTGTAATACACTGAATGCAAAATGAAGCCTGTAAATGAGGGGTTGGGAAAAAAGCTAATGGCACTTTATGGCTATGTGCCCTTGAGCAAGGCACATAACCCCAGTGCTGTATGTTCCAGTGGAGGTGTTCAGTATCCAGGAATATCGGTTCAAAGGAATGCCGGAGCTTGGAGGACGGACTGTCACAGCATTTCAGAGGCATATAGATTACAAGAACGGCTTGGTCTCTGCCCTTGTGCGTGGACTAAAGATTCATGTGATACATTATTGATCTCCATAAGGGAAGCAGCTGTAGGACAGCTCTTGATGCGGACAGCGATACAGTGTCTTGGTCAAGGACAACTCAGCAGGGCTATAAGCGACTCTCAGGGTCATCTTGGTCATCTCTAACTTCATCAGCACCACACATTGTGTTCCAAATTTGTTTATTTGAGTTTATTTTAAACTGGATGGTATCTAACAGTATGATTATTGGATATATTTACACATTTTTTCATACAATTGAACTTTCAGTGTCGAATTTTGTCCACTCTGTACCACAGAGGTCTGTAAACAGAGATCTGTAAATGTGAGAGCAGTTTATTAGCTACACCAGCAGGTGTATGTATAGCGGCATTGCCTCTCATGAGTTGTAAGAATATCCATAGCATTTGTGTATATTTTTTTTTACAGATTTCCGCTGCAAATGTGCAAAAACATTTTTTTGTTTATAGAAGTCACTCTGTATTTTTGTGGATATGATTTTACACATCACAAATGTAAAAATACATATTTGTAGATAGTGAAATATTTGCGCATCATAGTACACATTTGCGTCTTGTTTTCTGTGGGTTAAAAATGTTAAAGTCCAATAAAATATTCCATAAATTTTCTGTATACATGATGAACATAATGCCCATGGGTCAAATATATCCTATATATAAGTGACATGGGGACCACACATGCATGCATACTTTTTTAATAAATTTACTTTTGTATTACTGTCATAAATGGTTACATAGAAGAACAATATCTATATGCAAATGGTGTATGTCAGATCTTTTGTTGAATGCATGTATGGAAGTGTAGTTCATTAAAGTATACGTTAAATATATAAGACTGACACATCATTTTTAAATATACATTAAATATACATGATATTGACAAATAAAATGTTAAATATGGACATATGGCATTCTAATATATGTCATAAATGTGATTCCTGCAAATGAACATACATTACATATATGACATTTTTACGCACATATATTAGATTTCCATATGGGTATATTGCATTGTAAAAATAGACAGGTGTGGTGAAATGTATTAAATTGCATTGCATGTTTCGTTCTTTTACTTTCTTAATTGATTTTGATTTCATTGACTAAAATGTCACTCTTGTCTCCAGCCCATTGAGCACATTGGCGTTGAAGGAGAAAACCTCTTATTTGTTCATTACTCTGCTCATTCAACCATTCATCTATCTCTGTCCACACACTCCCTATATTATGCTCCTGGAACACTTCTACAGTAAAGAGTTTGGTACATACTACAGTTACCTACACTCACAGCGTATATACCACATCAAATAAAAATGTCCATCAAGATTTTTGCTTTGAGAGCACAGCAGGGAATTTGGTCTCTGGGATGGAGTTTCACTTCAGTTTATCCATTTGACAGCGCTCCTCCGCACATATGCCGGTACATCTATTGCCTGGAAAAGGGGCAGTGCCTTAAAAAGGCTGAAGTCAGAGAACAAACGTTCCTGAGTACAGTTGAAGGGGAACTTAACCGAAAGTATGTTTTCAGGTCTTGATGAATGCAATCAGTGAAGTACTGTTTTAACACCATGAATCATATATGCATATATGCTCGCTCTGGTATACCGTATATGCAGCTACACCTGATTACAAGCAAATTTGTGTGAATGACTTTGTCAGTGCAGAGTGCACGTTTTGTTTTGAGTGCTCGTACAAACTCTTGTGTGTGTGTGTGTTGTTGTGATGTGGGCTTTTGTGTGTATGTGTGTGTGTGTGTGTGTGTGTAAGATGCGCTGATGACACAAACGGAAACCCATTCCTGATGGAGCAGATAGTTGTCCCTAGGCATCACAGGTGTTTCTATCTAAGCGACGCCCCAATGACAGACACATTCCATCCAGGTTCCATTTGGGCAACCATGCAATAAATCAACACAACATTGCCACTCTGCCACTCATTACTGCACATAGAGTATCTGAGAGGCAGAGAGATACAATGACATAAAGGGACAGAGCGAGGACAGTTCTGCTGATCTGCAAACAATGCTCCCCCAAGAAAGGTAATTTGAGAGTCTGATTGCTTTCTTGAGATAGTGTTTCATTTCACTGTCATGGAATTATGAGAGGTAGCAGACTACTGTTTCAATTTTTACTGCTGCTCTGCATCTGTTCCAGAGGGCCCACGGGGGAATCAATGGCTGACAGACTTTTCTATGCCAAAAACTGGCTCCAGTTTGACCCAGTGGGGTAATAAACGGCAGCCAAACACACTTTAGCAAATGGCCACTGCAAACACAAGTGGATTTAAAGGAGGAATGCAGAACAAATTGCTTGCCACGTTAGCGCGACAGTTATGGTAACATGATTAAAGATTAGAAATAATGTGATTCCAAGGTGAAATTGTGTGTAATATTAAGCCTTTAAATAAACTCTGAATCACTGAGCGGAGGAAAAATAAAGGAGAAGGGAAAGTCATTTTAATTTTTGCTTGTGGACAGAGCTGGAGAGACTGACAGAGGCAGAGAGAGATTAAGAAACAGGGAGAGAGATGCAGATTGAGATTTTGGCCTCCAAGCGCCACGTTTCTTACACTTTCCATCACTGAAGTGATTGACAAATTGTTGAAAAGAACCGTAATTGGATTTACAGCTACATTAAGAATATTACACTACCAGCGCAGCTGTGTAGCACAACAAGAGGTCTAAGGGAACTGGTCATTAGCCCAGAGCAGAGCAAGCTATAAAACCTACAGTTCTGGTAACAATCACAACTGTCAGCCGTGCTGGATACATTTCCAACATTCATGTTCCCTTTGAGAACAGAATCCCTACAACACACTAACAGCTTCTTCTAATATATGTTTCTAGAAACAATGCTGGCAGTATGGAGTGCAGTTTACTAGTACACAAGTGTGGTGTTTATAGACTGACACATTTCCTTTGAGGAATAATTTAAGAAAAATTTTGAACAGTGAGCAAAGTAATTTGCACCAGTGGTGTATAAGTTAATGAGTATTCAAAATGAATCATTAAGACACGCTGCAGCAGAATTAATTTAAAGTGGTCATATTATGCTCATTTTCTGGTTCATAATCTTATTTAGGGGTAGTACCAGAACAAGGTTTACATGGTTTCATTTTCAAAATACACCATATTTTTTGTCATGCTGCACATTGATGCAGCTCCTCTTTTCACCCTGTGTGTTATTGACTGCCTGGAGGGTAGCTAATGTTTGGAAGGGAGAGGAGAGGCAGCAGGCAGACGTCTTGTCACTGTGTGCTGCAGCTCAGAGTGTTTTTCCACCGGTGTT